TAGCCGACGGGCTGAGAGTGTCTCTGCTGACATTCTATCCATCAAAGATCGGTCAGAACCGCCTCTCTGCAGCATGGCGGCTTCGCTACCCGCAACGGACGGAAATTTTGAACCAATATTTCTCAGTTGAGACATCCGAATGTCATTGCTAAAACTTCAGCAGAATAAGACTGTTCCAGATTGTTGCCGCGTCCTACGGAATGGCATCAGTAGTGGGACCAAAAGTGTGGGGTAACGTATAGCCTTATAAGTCGTTTCTGTTCATCTTACGCCCGTTGACCCAATGACAAAGTGCGTGACAGTAAAGTGGTGTTCGGACGTGCTCCCTGTTGACTTACGAGATCCACCGGGCATGACTGGGCGTCTGGGCGGATCCTGTTGTTGGTTTCCTCCAGTTAGTTCTTGTTCCTTGAAATAAATAAGAGCAAAGGATTATGCTACTTATACCGCTTTATTTACTTTTATATATTTTCGTTAATACCGCTGAATCGTACACCGTAGTCATTACAAACCCACCGCATGCCAGGAGCCATATCAGACATGGAAAACGCGCGCGCCATGTGCGTCTTGTCTCGTGCCGCCCTGGCGCGAGGGTGGGCATATGCTACACGCGCGTCTCGTGCCGTTTCAGACATGGGAGTCGACATCTACTACATGCCTCTGAGCGCGCCCTGCCGCTCCGTGCTGCTCCTGGCCAAGGCCATCGGCCTCGAGGTCAACCCCAAGATCGTCAACATCATGGCCGGGGACCAGAAGAAGCCCGAGTACATCAAGGTGGGGGCACCGGTCGTCCTCACCCATCTGGACATGTCCTGGTGTGGGATGCCGCACACTATCCGCCCCGTCTCCCGTCAGGGTGGCTGTGGATCGCGCCGCGCAGCGCGGGTACTGAAGTGGGGATGTGGTGATGCGTTTCCTAACCAGGAACATTTCGGCCGGAGGTGTTCGAGGGAGTTTTCCCGCTTCGGACGCCAGCGGTGGCGTAATCGCGTGGTGATCCTTTCCCCAAGGAGGTATGGGGCGATGCGCCGAAAAGCCAAGCCAAACCTAAAGGTACCTTGCGTCAAATGGCTGCAAAGGTGGTTCTTAAAGGAGCCGAAATTACCAAACATTTTAATTCATTTAAAGATGCGAGCATATCATGGACCGCTCAGACCAAGCAAGTAGAGTCGAGCATCACCGTGTCGCTTTCTATAATGATTGACCAATAAAATATTCGTTGTCAGATGAACCCGCAGCACACCATTCCAACGATGGACGACGACGGCTTCTACCTGTGGGAGAGGTGAGCGGGTGGAGGAGGGCGGGGAGGGGGGGGGGGGGGATGCTACGCCCAGGGTCGGCCGATGCTGCAACACCTGCCTGTGGCCTCCACGCCGCCTGGCGTTTTCTGTGAGCGGATGACGCCACCCATTTTGTCACAGCCGCGACGCGGGGTCATCACGGCACCGGCAATACGCGCACGAAACTGTGCGCAGCCGCGGCCGGCGCCGCGTGTCCGATTACCCGCACGACATGGCATTGTTCCAGATCAGTCGCCAGGGAATTACCTCAGGCTGGCCTGCACCAACAGCCGTTATAATTGTCACGCCTCACGTCCGCGTGCTGCGTCGGCACGGGCAGGTCCACGCGACCCACGTTCCTCTTACGTACTTCGAAGAACTGCGGCGCCCTTACGGCGGCTGCCTGATGAGAGCCGCTTTACACGGCTGTTAGGCCTGAGCTCGAGTGTGCCGTCCGCCGCCCGGCGCCGACGCTGGCTGTGACCGTGTGCCTCCAGCCGCGCCATCCTGTCCTACCTGGCGTCCAAGTACGGCGGCGCCAGTCTGTACCCGTCCGACCCGAAACAGCGCGCTGTCGTCGACCAGAGGATGTACTTCGACATGGGAACCCTCTACGAACGGTTCGGCAAGTGCATCGTGAGTTCCGACCGTCCGCGCGATCCTCGGTGTGCCACGGGCGACCGCCCGGGCGACCCTCGGTGTGCCACGAGCGACGAAGTTATAGGTTATGCGACCATCTCACCTAAATGATGTTGGTGATATCGGACACAATGTCCTCTCAATACATCTGATTCGGAGTGCAAACCCAGGTTAATTACACCAGTCATAAGGCGCGGGCGTCCAGACTTCGGCACGGCCCTGACATGAGTGTGCACTGATCGCTAAATGAGTCCACTATTTACGCCTGTGGTCAGAGGCTTGCGTCTTTGTTGTTTGCAAGGACGTCGGGGGACTTAGGTCTGCACACTGGCAATATTCGTGCAAAACAGGGCGGAGCAATGTGGCTGGACGGCTGCGCCATCTATGGCCGACCTCATGCACTGTCTGCGGTGACAAGCTCCGAGTAGAACCACACTCAAGCGGCCGTTGGCGCAGCCGTATATAAACGCGGCGGCCGGTGGCGCAGCCGTTTATAAACGCGGCGTCGCATCCGATGTGATCGCTCCGGTCGTATCACACCGCTGATCTGTTCCAGTACCCTTTGATGTTCCACGGGGCCAAGACTGTCGACAAGGACGCCATCGATAAGCTGAATGAGGCCCTGGGCTGGCTGGAGGGCTTCATCGGTGACAACAAGTACGCGGCCGGGAACACTCAGACTGTGGCCGACTTCGCGCTGGTCTCCACTGTCGCCAGCATTGAGGTCAGTCAGAGACGCTTCTGTGTTCTTGAGCGCGGTGGAGAGTGTGAGCAAAGGTCCGAGCTGACAGGCCGGCCGGGCCCGTCACGACCTCGGCCTGTACACCGCGCCCACTTGACCGCGCGTATTTGGCGTCCAGGCAGGCCACCTGCGTTTGACGTGCATCGTTTGCCTTTCCCCTATCTCGCGAACCTGCTCCGTGGCGGTACAATATCCTGTGAGGAACATATCTCGCTGTCTCCTCTGGCCCTCGCATTGTCCAGACGTCATCTCCGCGTTTTCCATACCCTTGAATGGGAGTGTTCTATCCCTAGGTGCATTTCCGCGTTGGGTGACGTGGCTAATCCTAACAGCATCCCGCACAATGAGACTCCTGCTTGAAGTCCGTTATTGCCGCGAATAATGTGATTATTCATATGTTCTTTTGAATGGGGTGGTTCTTCACATGTTCTCTTGAATGAGAGGATTCTTGACCCATTGACCCAAATTTCTCGCCAGTATTCTCCTCATCCCCTCAATACTGGCGCTGGACATTGTTCCCAAGGAGTGGCGACGGCTGGTAACCTCCATACAATAGAACGCAGTTTACAGTACAGGAGTAAAAGCCGGGGGATTTTCAAGCTCAGCGACAAGAGAGCGAAAGGAAGAGGGAGAGTTGCGCTGCTGACACGTTTTGCATTTCACATCTTTGTTTGCGTGCAATTGGATAAAGATGGCTTAGTGCTACCAATGATATACCTTTACGCATGTATCTACCTGGTCTAGAACTGGACATGATCTCCAGTTTTCGTACCTCCATGCAAAACCCGACCAAACTGGACCCTTGCTCGTACAACGCATGAACGTAGTTATGCTTTTCCCACTTTCACCAAAGCCTTCCGCTCAGAACGTGGATGGCAGCCGGGAGATATCGAAAGTCTATTACAAGCGACGCCCGTTTACCGGCTGACCGAGACCTTCCGACTGCCGCAGGCCACAGAGGTCGTCGACCTGGGACCTTTCCCCAAGGTCCGCTCCTGGCTGGCCAACTGCAAGTCCGAGATGGCCGGCTACGCGGAGCTCAACGACGACGGGGCAAAGTCGTTCGGCGGCTTCTTCAAGCAAGCCCAGGCAAAGGCGGCGGCTTGAGCGCGGTTTTGCGCCCCTCGGTGATCACAGATGGCAGCACTGCGGCATGCTTGCCTCGTCTCGCGTGGTGACACCTTCGTCACGATCTGTTCACGCAGTGTAACGCGGCCATGGCGTCATTTACACTGTATTTATCATCTGGTGATGTTGAATCCCCGTGTAACATCACCTTTCCCAAAGTTCGCAATTCTGTTATAAAAACTGTTCGTCTGGTTTTCATTTTGGCTGTTCTCCGACCACGAGTGCTGTGGTCAATGCATAAGTTCTCTCCATGAAGACCCCATTACCGCCTCGAACCACTCACCCAGAGGCTGTGCGGTCAGTTGGCCGGACTCCCTGCCAAGACAGTTGAGTGTGTCTGCCGCGCGATGGAGGTTGGGTCGGGTATGAACAAATCCTCGCTTTCTTTCAATCATGGTCTTTTTCACCTTTTTGAATTTTCGGAGAGACAGAGACACCGGGAAAAACAAGAAGTACGGACGGCTGCATCTTTTCTGAGTCGTGCTGATATTACGCTTCGGACGGAATTCTCTCTACGGAGTAAGACTAACATAGGACCTCTTAAAGACGCCTGAGCCAAGACCTCAGACCCCGCAGCAGTACGGTGAAGAGTTTGTTCCAAATCAGGGAGTGTGAAGCTTTGCTTTTAGATCGGTCAGCTTTACAAAGGACGGATAACTTTCAGTTCCTTTCAGTCCAATTCAATTCTTACATCAAATTGTTATATTCCGTGTCCATGTTTTATTAGTTAGGCGCACTGTGTAGTAGGCAGAATCGAGATGTTGGTGAAAAATGGCGCCTAATTCTTCTTCATATCGACATGCAAAAGATCATGCGATTACGTCCAAAATTGATAGTTACGACAACAGCGGTCAGGCCGGTGCCCTACGTGCCATTTGAAACAATGGAATGTCGGTGCTCTTACTAGCGCGTTTGTGAGGCACAACAGCTAGACCGCTTCAGCGCGCTCCCGTCTGCACATCGAACCAGCAAGCGCAGGCGCCATGTAACACTCACTGGTACAACAAGCACGGTTCAAAAGGCGAGGACACAACTGAGACCTGTTAACCTCACAGTGCCGGCCCTACCCCACCCGCGAGGTGGCGTCAGCTGCGGGAGTGGTGACCCACCTGACCCCACAGCACCGGCCCCGCTCCGCCCTTGTGGTGGCGGTCAGCTACGGGAGTGGTGACCCAGCTGACCCCTGACCCCGCAGCACCGCCCAACAGGAAATGCCACATCGGAATAGTTTCCATTTCGTTGAGCGAGGATAGCACTTGTCTCAGTGGTGCCAGTGGTCGAACAAGCCAGCCCGCGCCTCAGTGGTTCACGTGTCTGGGCCGGGCCGGTCCGTGTCCCGGCAGCCCACGTGTCTTGGCCAGGCCGGCCCGCGTCTCAGTAGTCCACGTCTCTGGGCCAGGCCGGCCCGTATCTCAGTAGTCCACGTGTCTCAGTAGTCCACGTGTCTCGGCCGGGCCGGCCCGTGTCTCAATAGCCCACGTGTCTTGGCCAGGCCGGCCCGTGTCTCAGTAGTCCACGTGTCTTGGCCAGGCCAGCCCGTGCCTCAGTAGTCCACGTGTCTTGGCCAGGCCGGCCCGTGTCTCAGTAGCCCACGTGTCTTGGTCAGGCCGGCCCGTGTCTCAGTAGTCCACGTGATTGGGCGGGGCCAGCTCGTAGTCGCCGTCGTAGATGGCGAACAGGTCGTTGGGGCGCCGCGGCCGGGCCGGCTCCCGGCTGACAGTCCGCTCCAGGAGGCGTCGCTTCAGCTCGTGCGGACACGTCACCTGGATGAAGTCCTTTCCCGGCTCTCGGCGCCGCTCCCTGCCGCGCGACAGGCCAGGTCACGCCAGGTCACGTCAGATCACCCCAGGTTACGCCAGGTCACGTCAGGTCACGCCAAGTTATGCCAGGTCACGTCCGGCGCGCAGACATTGGCGTTCTCCAACGAGAAGGCTAGGTCAGTTCAGCCCAGATCTTTGAGATGACTGAATTACAGGCAGACTGGTTTGGACACATGCTCTACATGGCTCAGAACATGAAATACATGTCTGGTATCGGTCTGAGCCTAGTTGCAACCTCTTCCTTCTCCACACGTTCACAGCCTTGCCCACTCCAGCCCAGTGTGTCACTGAGCGACGACATGCGGTCGACTCACAAGCGCAGCACGCAGAGCAGGTAGTAGACATAGGAGAGCAGCAGCGTGGGGAGCGTGAGCGCGGCGGCGATCCGGGCCCAGGGCAGCACGCGCGCCGGCGCCGGCGAGCGGTCCCAGTAGCGGTCGCAGGCCAGGTACCAGCACGTGACGTGGCTGAGCTCCGCTGCCGGCACAGGCGGCCAACGACACGCGATGAATGCAGCCGACGACGGGTATTTTGCCACAGTATTCCGCACATCTGTACGTGATCAACGGACAGCAGGCAAGCGGCCGACAGCATAGAAATATAGTGGTGGTGCACTCGGATACAGATATTCTAGCAGCAGCTTTGTGCTTGATTCCGGTGGAATTGGATTGAACTTTGGAATAAACCAAACTTTTGCAAAGTCCGGCTAGCACTGATTTCCTGGAACTTTTATTGTGAGTCAGAGTTGCAGCTGGAGTTAGGTCAATCAAATCACTGGTAAGTCGAATACAATACAAATGCAGGTAATAAGGTATACTAGCCATCGGCGTCGCATACATGTTAACCAAAAGCCGAACAGTTGCACATAGCCCTGTTCTCAGCAAAACAAATGCTCCAGGTGCTTTTGTGGCACCTAAAGAAGGGGTTATCTCCTGAAAAATTACTCGCGCGGAAATGGTGTCGTCAAAACCGATCCAATCTACGTTCCAGAAATTATTTTGATATTTTTACATTACATTACACATACGCATTATTGTTTTTATATTGCTCAGCTGCAATTCCAAATACATTCTAGACTTCATTTTGAAAATGGGTCGCATCTCGAGTCGGGATCGGCCTCTGCTCAAAGCTGCGCTGTGTTCTTCGGAATAGCAGTCGAAACCAGCCTTATGCGCTGCAGATACGGATGAGCTGACACAAATAAGCACTAGCCGACACAAGTCGGCGCGACTGAGTTAAAATGTGTGGCCTCAGGCGGGGTCATGAGTCATGCGTTGAGGTCAGATGTGAGTCCTTCGGCGAGGTTGGATGTGTCCTCCGGCGGGATCATTAGGAGTCTTCCGATGGGGTCAGATGCGAGTCCTCCGACAGGACCAGATATGACTCCCCCAGCGGGGTCAGATGTGAGTCCTCAGGCGGGGTCAGATGCGGGTCCTCCGGCGGGGTCAGATGTGAGTCCTCCGGCGGGGTCAGATGCGGGTCCTCCGGCGGGGTCAGGTGTGGGTCCCCTGGTGGGGTCAGATGTGGGTCCTCCGGCGGGGTCAGATGTGGGTCCTCCGACGGGGCCAGATGTGAGTTCCCCGGCGGGGTCAGATGTGGGTCCTCCGACGGGGCCAGATGTGAGTTCCCCAGCGGGGTCAGATGTGACGCCCCCAGCGGGGTCAGATGTGAGTCCTCCGGCGGGGTCAGATGTGGGTCCTCCGACAGGACCAGATATGACTCCCCCAGCGGGGTCAGATGTGAGCCCTCCGGCGGGGTCAGATGCGGGTCCCCTGGTGGGGTCAGATGTGGGTCCTCCGGCGGGGTCAGGTGTGGGTCCCCTGGTGGGGTCAGATGTGGGTCCTCCGGCGGGGTCAGATGTGGGTCCTCCGACGGGGCCAGATGTGAGTCCCCCGGCGGGGTCAGATGTGGGTCCTCCGGCGGGGCCGGATGCGGGTCCTCTGGCGGGCAGTCAGAAATGTCTCAGATATCTTCTTGACGGGAGGGAAGTGTGCAAGTCCGCTGCCGCGGTGAGAGTCAGGGTAACAGCGTACCTTGACTCCTGACTCAAGGTCAGGAGTCAAGGTATTACTTTCGGTCTGAATGGTCAGATGCGGCTTCTGCTTACTCCTGTCAAATGCAGACTGTGAGTCAGCACAACCGAACGGCGGCGCTGAGGCATGTCTTGAACGAAGAACCGCATTATGTCTTTATCAAAGCCGTATCGGTTTTATTGCCACCTTGGGCAGTGAGATTACACTCGTCGTCAGAAAGTGGGACAGACTTCACATTTGCCGATAAGAGGATCGGTTACGTCTCCTTGCTGAGTGGCGAGTCAGCAAGTGTAACTGTGGTCGTTTAACGGAATAAGAACACAGAGGGTAATATTGGGAAGCTGAAGTGCCGGCAACTTTCAGCGCCGGTGTCTTTTACGCATCAGCCATACCAAGGCAGCAATACAATTTCTTGACCTCAAAACTTGAATCAAACTGTGGTTCCCGTCGTTCGCGAAATACTCGCGGCAGTTTTACTCACCAGTCTCGCCAGATTATTAATGCAGTTACTTGAGCGCAAAACTTGAGTTCTAAACTACGGTCCGTTTCGTTCATGGACCATCGGAGGTCCCAGCCGGTGCCGCGCCATGGCAGCAGTTGTTTATGGAATTCAACTCTCAAAAATTGGATCGAAGTTTCGCCACCATTAAAAAATATAATCACGTTTGAAAGCATATCATGCATTGCACCCACCCGCAAAATGTGGGGTGCGACGCAACGACTTCATGCAATTTGTATGCAAGCAGCGCGAAACTGTTGGAAACTAAGATGCTGAAAATGTATGCTGCTCGTGTCCAGCGACCCTGAATGTATTTTAACGAAACCTTAATAGATCCCTGAGACTCTCGTCGCTCGGTGGGGATTCCAAGTAAAGTAACTTACCCTGCATGGTACGAAATTCTTCCGGTGAAAGATCTAAGATGAGAGGCGAAATGCAGTCGTCCACGAGGTCCTGAAAATATTTCAATGCTTATAACCCCGAGTATAAGCAAAGCCTAGAGGTCAACATTCAACTTGAGGATCGTGTTAAAGAGCACTCAGGTGGAAACGCGTGAACGATACAAACGTACACATGCAGAAGACTGACTGGCAAACACACTCACTCAAAACAAAACCTGCTGCGGTACGCCGTTCCGGTACACAGCGGTACGACAAACATCTAATTTTCAGATACTTTGTGACGAGATTGCCCCGTGCTCTCGTCGCTTTGATTTCGGAAGGCAATGAATAATCCTACCATTTGCCCACCCCACATGCACTCATGCACAAGGGGTGCGTTTTTGGAATTGGGCTAGCGGGTCCCCTTTTCATTTATATGGAAAAACAAGTTGGAAATTGTCGTCCCTTTAGTGTGTAAGCCAACTAAAATTAAAACGAGTTGTTCAGTGCATTTGTGAGAAACATTATCCACATAGATAGTAGTAATAGCCTTATCGTCGGAGAAAAACCAGGATAATGTAGATGTAGATGGGTTGGTATTTCGGTGGCATGCCTTTATCGAAAAAATATCATAAGTGCTATTGTTTGCCAATGCTTCCCCTATTGCTTCGATAAAGGCATGTTGCTGAAATATTAACCCATCTACATCTCCACTACCCTAGTTTTCGTCCGAGGAATAAGGCTGTTACTTCTGTCTCACCTATGAAAATTAAAAAAGCATCATGGCTGCTTCTTTTGTCATGTTGTGCAAAGACGCTCGGCTCGCTCAGAGTTTGATATGATCTATAAAATTTCATGCCAGACGTCAGTGCCTATGGGTACATACGCCTCTCATACAAGAAGCTTGGGGCTATTCACAGAAGTAGGCTTCGTAATTTTAATTATGAGCATTATCAAGTTTGCAGCCGTTCAGCTTTCAGGCAAAGACCGCAGCATCGCTAAAACGCAGCTATTTTCGGTGGACGTTGGTCATATTAAACGGGGTCACACTACGTGTAGCTTCCACGACCCAGCCGTTCTTGGTTTAGGTCACAGCGTCATGTATTCGAGATTGGTTCCGGAAAATTTTACACTGACCTCCTCTCGGTTATAGTCTCCCGGTCTTCCCGGTATTATGGGCGGGTCTATGAGCCAGGCAGCTTTGGAGTCCGTTAAGGAGTTGGAACTGGTTCGTTGGCCTGTACTGTGCAGCTGGTTTCACGTCTTCACCCATTCTGATTGCTGACACTAGACATCAATCATTAAAAGCGTCCTAAAACGGGTGCATTCATGATCTGCACACAGAGCGCATGGCCGTGACCCCCGGCGCCCCCCCCCCCCCCCTCCCCCCTCCCCCTGGCCCGCTTTCTATTCCGTCATAATGTCAGTGTAGCGTCATTGTAATGTTGGGCTGTTGAATTCAGCACTCATTGTCGATCCGATAGGTCAGATTTTCTACAAGCTGTGTTTTCAGTCAAACCCAATAGGTGAGATGAAATCGCAATGGTATTACAGTGTTGGGGGAAAGCCTGTCTCATCAGAATGTTGGGATGCACATACCAGACAGCTGCATTTGTATGGCTCGCTATTTTAATGATTTTGTTCATTATTGCTAAAAGCTGCATGCACCAGCAATCGTTGGCTGCGGGTTATCAACTTCCAGAAATTGTGCTGACAGGCCGAGCTCGACCAGAACACTCGAGGTGAAGACTCTCACAGCCTAGTCAAGGCTCACTGGGCCTGCGCCATCGCTCCTAAAGAGCGCACGTGTATGTACAAGGGCCCCCAATTCGTTGGTCCTTTGGCCAAGAGGATAATATCTGGTGTTTGTGATTCATTGACATCGGGACCGAGGCGTGGAGAGCCCTGGACATGCACTGCAGTGTCGTTACACCACCGGCGTACTGAACCCTCGCACGACCGCGTCGTTTCGAAAACAACGCGCGGAAACATTTCAGTACGGTTCATGAGGAAAAACTGTAGTTTTCCACCCCAACTGCGACAAAATAAAAAACATCGTTGGACACAGGCCACGAAATGCCTGGTTTGTGTACGTCCCGACAACAGAACGGATATCGTGTTTTCATTTTCGACGATGCTGCGTCTAACTACCTCATCACATAGCACCGCAGTGCGCGAAGTATTTTTAATGTGCACACGTCCCTCCCCTCCCCCCCCCCCCCCCCCCCTCCTCCCCGGCGAGCATTTACCCGAATGCACGCTTGCCAATTTATGCAATCTGGATAATCGAACAGACTGTTCAGATATGGTTGCTTAAATATTCAAATGTCAAAACCAAACCGAACGCTGGCAAATCTGCCCGGAACTGACAGCTGGTACGAGGCGGATCCAAGCTCATATTTGCACCGCTCATGGTAAAAAACGTCCTCCGTGAACATTGGCACGATTGAACCAAGAAAAAAAACACGCCACCGCAGATCGCTCGTCAGTTTTTGGGCTGGTGGTAGCAGAGTTTTGAAGCCAATGCTCGGTGGCTGTATTAAACAAGTGTTCCCAGAGGGCCAGTCAAAGAAGATGGCCAGGAGTTTGCAAAGGAATCACGACCCGTCCAAGACAGGGCCAGACCTTTCCTGGGGTGTTCTAGAAACCGGAACAAAAAGGCCATGCCAAAAGGCCGTTTGCTGCATGGCCATAGCCATGCAGCAAACGCAGGATGTGAAAAATCTGACGAGTATCTGATGACCCATAAGACAAACTTTACAGACTATACTTAAATAAGACAAACTAAGACAAAAAAGATCTGACGGCCAGACTCTAATTCCTGTACCCGGAGGTAGGACTGCAGCGATAGTTATGCTCTCATTCCTGTACCCAGAGGTAGGACTGCAGCGATAGCTATGCTCTCATTCCTGTACCCAGAGGTACGACTGCAGCGATAGTTATGCTCTCATTCCTGTACCCGGAGGTAGGACTGCAGCGATAGTTATGCCCTCATTCCTGTGCCCAGAGGTAGGACTGCAGCGATAGTTATGCTCTCATTCCTGTACCCAGAGGTACGACTGCAGCGATAGTTATGCTCTCATTCCTGTACCCAGAGGTACGACTGCAGCGATAGTTATGCTCTCATCTCTGTACCCAGAGGTAGGACTGCAGCGATAGTTATGCTCTCATCTCTGTACCCAGAGGTACGACTGCAGCGATAGTTATGCTCTCATTCCTGTACCCAGAGGTAGGACTGCAGCGATAGTTATGCTCTCATTCCTGTACCCGGAGGTAGGACTGCAGCGATAGTTATGCTCTCATTCCTGTACCCGGAGGTAGGACTGCAGCGATAGTTATGCTCTCATCCCTGTACCCAGAGGTACGACTGCTGCGATAGTTATGCTCTCATTCCTGTACCCAGAGGTACGACTGCAGCGATAGTTATGCTCTCATTCCTGCACCCAGAGGTAGGACTGCAGCGATAGTTATGCCCTCATTCCTGTGCCCAGAGGCAGGACTGTAGATGATCAGAGGATCCGCAGATCGCTTGGCTATTTCCAGCACAAGGACACATAATATAGGTCAACTTTTGCTTAAATGCGTACTTTGAAGGTGCGATATCTTCTGATTCACACGTTATCGTTTCATCGGTGTTGTCTTTTTTCCCTACTTTGCAACGTTTCTGCGCAGTTCTGGCTTCTCATGGATCTGCTGCAAGCCGTTCACGCTACAACGCGGCAGCAATAGGGCAGTACTTCATATCGTGACTTCAGATGCCCGGCACTTTAGTTCTCCTTATGGTGATTCTTGGTACTGAACTTACCTCACACATGATCCTCAGTCGCTCCATTTTGACCGGGTCACACGCCTGATCCGCAAGCGAGCTCTCATTTTGCTCCTCTTCACAATCACTGATGACGTCATCCGTCGACGGAGCCGGGGAGTTATCAAGCCACCACCAGGTGTGAGACCACCACCACCAACTTTCCAAGTCCGGCATGCTGGCATTGTCCGGTGCAGCTTTGTCCATGCACTGGGGCTGTCCGTTTTGCCGTGAATCCACGCACCGACTGCACTGCCGTCTAGTGGCATCATTTAGCACTCTCGCTTCAGAGTATTTTTGCAGGTGGCGCGGTCGAGCCGGTTGCACGGCGTGTGGTTGCCTGGAAGAGGTCTCCACCGGTTGCAAGTCGGTCGTCTCCAGGTCGCTGCGACCCGAAGTTAGCACGTGCGAGTATACGCTGCAGCGTAAGATGCCGCAGAAGTCGGCAGGACACACCAGGGTCTCGTCCTGTCGAAAGAAGACAGACTGCCGTCGTCATCGGTTCCAAGATGGCCACCTTCAGGTCATAGCATACCACTGATCCCGACAAGATCGCTGACACTCATCAGTCTTTCCTGTGCATGCATATCGCATGCAAAATGTAATGCTTAACAGTTCAGTCAAGTGGTTCAATATTGCAAAACGATTGTGGAACATATTACAACCAATCTCAGGCGTGCCATTCGTTGATTACCATGTACAATGTGGAGGCATGACATGTACCCACATAGTTCGGTGCGGTTCAAATCCCAATAGATACTTGGCATGCATAATTGACTACATTTGTGTCTTGACCATAAACATTAGTGCCAATTGACCTGTAAGATCGGTTACGACCATGTGTGAACGCAAAACAAACAATTATGCTATTTGATGATCAGCTTACAAACGTTACACGACACAGGTTGAGCGCATGTATCAGCGATCGTGGTAGTAGGACCCTGTATCTGACCCTACGGAAATTCATCTTTACTTACATTTTTAACAGGCTGCATTATCCTACACCTCCCGCCCCTGGCCCTCAGTACGCCCTCAGCACCTCTCCCTGCTGGCCCTCAACACCTTCCACCCCGGCCCCCAGCACCTCCCGCTCCTGGCCCTCAGCACCTCTCCCCGCTGGTCCTCAGCACCTTCGGCTCCTGGCCCTCAGCACCTCTTGCCCTGCGCAGCTCAGTCTGGCCGCTGCGCTGACGACTCCCGAGGACTGCTGACTGACCTGGAGTGTCAGCTCGGCCGGGTGGTCGGCCCTGGCGGTTCCCCAGGACTGCTGACTGACCTGGAGTGTCAGCTCGGCCGGGTGGTCGGCCCTGGCGGTTCCCCAGGACTGCTGACTGACCTGGAGTGTCAGCTCGGCCGGGTGGTCGGCCCTGGCGGTTCCCCAGGACTGCTGACTGACCTGGAGTGTCAGCTCGGCCGGGTGGTCGGCCCTGGCGGTTCCCCAGGACTGCTGACTGACCTGGAGTGTCAGCTTGGCCGGGTGTTCGGCCCAGTAGTGGTAGTCGAGCAGCACCTCGCGGCCGAACCGGCGGCCGCAGAGGCCGCAGCGCCAGCCGCCGGCGCGCCGCGGAGGAGGCGCCCGCTCTGGGCGGCCCACCAGCTGACGCGACGGGTGCAGCGGACACGTGACCGGCAGGCTGACGTTGTAGCGGGCCACCAGCGGCAGCCAGCGCTGCAGGAACGCGCGCTGGTAAGGCGCCCGACAACGGCGCGGGGGTGTACTGGGCCGCCGCCGCGCACGGCGCGCGTGTGTGGGGTGAACCGACTGACGAACGTGGATATGACGAACGTAGAGCAGCGGCGTCGACACAGCACATGACATGACATGACCGGATGGCTGGGGAGTTCGGGCAGACTGCTGTGTTGCACCTAAGCTTTCCAACGATGTTTGCGACGGCTGGCGACGGCGCCACCTTTAGTCGTAGTTCTCTTCATCCCCCCCCCCCCCCTCCTTTCGCCGCCCTCCTTCCGTCGACTCGACACCTGCCGACGACGGCCCGCACTGCTGTCTCTCCTTGCCTGCATCACTTCCGTGGTTGGGGAATGAGGGGTCTGCTCTCGACAGGGCGTGGACCGGGAACGGGGACAGGAACGCCGCGGGGGCCTTCAGAAATGCGGGTATTCTAGAGGACATGTGTGCTCCGAACTACGTCTATCACTGTAAAAATCGTCGGGCGTCGAGTCTATACAGCTCGCTGAGGGTAGCCATGACACGTGGCAGAGGCGAGGACTCGACAGACGACGGCCGTTAACGTCCTGCTGAACGGACTTTGCTAAATTGCTAAACTGTGCTTAGACTGTATTCCACGTGCAGTTACCGATGATGGTAAGAGCTTTAAGACTCATGTGCTTTTGTTGACAGCGGGAATTTCCATGAACCACCGGCGTGTCCACATTCGATAAAGGGATAAAACAATGACGATTTCCATGAGAACGCATGCAATGCTACTTAGCAATTGTGTGTGTGGGGGGGGGGGGGGGGAAGGGAGGGAGCAGATGAAACGCCTGTAAAGATGGGAGTGCTCCCCTCTCCTCGACACTTATCGCTCACTAAATATACCGCGGCCTCGTCGAAATTTACCTGTCTGCTGTTTCGAGGTTTGGCTTTGTGATGTGGCGAGCTGCGTGCAGCAGGTCAGTTGGCTTCAACGGAAATCAATGATACGTCTAGGCATGGTCAAATGACGAGGTTTCAGGAACGACGCTGAAAGCCAATTCGTGAACCGGTGGCAGAAGTGATCGCACAGTCAGAGTTCGTTTCAGTCAAACTCGTGGACTGGCGCATGGCCGCGCAGCACCACGTGGCGTTTGCTCGATGGCAAACGAACGCTGGCTGTGCCCTCTCGGGACGGTTTCAGACAAGGACCGACCAATCCTCCAGCAATACCTGCTGTGCTCCTTGGGCAACTGCATTTGAAAGCCCCTGGTAGGTATAATGGCCGATGCAAGTCTCCCTTCTGATTCGGCGTGGAGTTTTTGGCTGGGGTTGGGGTGGGGGTGGGGTTAGGGTGTGGGGCGTTCTATCTCCTAGCGTTCTGTACAATTTGGAGGAGACATCTTCAGTGGTCATGTCAGAACAATTTTCCAAACTGACCAAAGTATTTTTTATAGTCCTCTGCACGGTGTACCGATACTACCGTGGTGTGAATATTCTTAAGCATGGGGTTATTTAAGGTCAAGGTTACGGAAAGTTATAGAATGGCATCGGTTGACTTGGTATTATCAGCTCGGAGTAAATAGTGGTATGCTTTAGTCTCTGCCAATTATATCTGCGAACACCCTCATGTGAAGCTCGTGGAGTCGAAGGGAACGTTGTTTAAACTCGTTTGGTTCCATCTGACAGCTTAGCCATGGGAGTCTCTGAAGAGTTACCTAGCTAAACGCTGTTTGTCATATGCCGTCTTGTTTCCCGACCTTTTCCATGCCGTTTTTTGCTCTCACGAATTGTGTGTGGGACTGGTAAGAGGAGCCGTACCAGCCGACCTACCGCCACTTTGAATGAGGTGAGATGTGTGCCAGGCAGGGTTAATAACGTAAACACGACAATGTTGCGCCGCAGAGAGCTGCGGCGCAACCAGCCATTCCTTGCGCGGCCTTACCGCCTGGACGATCTTCTTGGCGACATGTGACCGCCAGACGGAGCAGCTGGACTGGCCCGATCTCAGGTGGGGACAGGGCACGACCTGGGTCAGCAGAACAGCGCAAACCTGCCGGCAGAGTTCGCCGGTCCGACAGCCGCTGCACCTCACGCTGGCGTCAAAACCACGCCACATACCGAGGGTTGCGGTCCGGCAACACAGCGGCTGCAGATCGCGAATAGAAAATCGTTAGGTAGAGGAGGCGGCCACTATTTAATCAATGCAGAATGACACTGCCGGGAAGCGACGTCGGCACGGCCGGCTCAGGATCGGTGTAGCACACCCTAGCGCCCACATGCCACAAATTTCGCCAGGGCAACCTCCCACCGTCGGTCGCCCCTCGGGCGCCGGCAGCAGCACCCCCCTGGCGCTGCAGCCGGCCCCCTGAGCCGAGATGGCGGGCGCGGCAGAGGGCGCTGGCCCCACCGATGGCGCGTCACTCACCAGGTGGAAGCGGCCCGCCGCGGCCATGCACGAGGGGCGGCCCGGCCGCGGTCGACACCGACGCTCGTCTCAGGCGGCCGGCGCCGTCGGCATCGATTCGACGAGCGGCGCCGGCGCCGCGGTCGCCCGCGGCACGACGCGGGGACGCGCCCCGCCCGGTCGGCTGCGGACCGGAAGTGCGGCGGGAGGACGGCACGGCGGGGGAGGGGAGGGAGGGGAGACGACGTGGGGGGGGGGGGGGAGGGGCGGGCATGGGTGATGGCGGGAGGAAGAATGGGATGATGGGAAGACATGACCGATGGCGCGAAGATCAGGAGAGGGAATGAGACAGGGGTCAGAGGTGTCAAAGAACGCGATGTTGAGAAGGTCGAATCGTGAAAAGAAACCTACTACGGATAAGAGAGACCGTCAAGGGATGGGATGACGGAAAACAGCGAGAATAAATTTGCTGGGGTCTTTAACTACGGGACCACGGGACAGCGAGGCACGAGACAAATGTAACGCTGCCCACCAGCTCACTGTCCCTAACAGAGATGTAACATAAGGCTGGCTGCCAACGCCGGCCTGTAGTTAAAGCGGCCGCCCATTTGTTGTGACGCATCTACCGCGACGTTGGGCGGAGGGTGCGTGAAGGTCAGACTGAGTTTATTTGCTTACCTATCTCCGAATGCCGATTTGCTATCACATTGAGCCACGGAATAATGGCCTCGCATCCGAGCCTGCGCGACGAAAATGCGGGATAGCAACGCTCTACTGCGATGAGCAAGGCATTTGCAACGTCATGGTCGACTTTCCCGACATTTTTACAAAGAACCCCAGTAACAGAGGAAAATTCCTTAAAACAAATGTGGTATTTGTCGCATTACGTCATAAGACTGCCACTGCTGCAACGGCAGTCTTACTCGTTGCTTGCTGTGAAGCGTCCAAGTAGGCGGTGCATATAGCCGACACGTTGCATGGGCAGCCGTACGGCTTGTCGGCTCTGCACGTCGTGTTTCACAATTGCGACCCTGACCGGTGACCAGTGCCGCCTGCCTGTGATCAGCGCCGCCTATCGGTGACCAGTACCTCCTGTCGGTGACCAGTACCGCCCGCCAGTGACCAGCACTATCTGCCGGTGACCAGCACCGCCTGTAGGTGACCAGTACCGCCTGTCGGTGACCAGTACCGCCCGCCAGTGACCAGCACTATCTGCAGATGACCACCGCCGCCTGCCGGTGATCAGCGCCGCCAATCGGTGACCAGTACCGCCTGTCGGTGACCAGCACTATACGTCGGTGACCAGTACCGCCTGCCGGTGATCAGCGCCGCCTATCGGTGACCAGTACCGCCTGTCGGTGACCAGTACCGCCTGTCGGTGACCAGCACTATATGTCGGTGACCAGTACCGCCTGTCGGTGACCAGTACCTCCTGTCGGTGACCAGAACTGCTTGTCGGTGGTCAGTGCTGCCTTGCACTGACCAGCGCTGCCAGTCGGTAACGAGTACCGCCTGGCGTTGACCAGTGCTGCGTACGAGGCCCATGGCGCGTGTCAGTGGCCCCTGTCTTGTGGAGTGACCAGCACCATGGATTGGTAGCGAGCGCTACGTGTCGGTGACCCGAGCTGGCCGGACGTCGTGAGCGTTGGTCGCACGTGTCGCCGTCAGCCCGCGCAGATGACCCAGCACAAGCGCCGCTGAGCGACCCTCGAGCCGGCGCCTGGCGCGAGGCCACGGGCCGGCCAGCTCCGTTAGTGACACGCGGAGTACGTGGAGTGACAAGCTTCACTCAAACATAAATCAAATTACATAAGAAACGGGCCAGGTGTATTTCAGCATTACAGACCGAATCTGCGAGAACTTTCAATCATCTGCCACGTGCATGACTCACTTCAAATCACAGAGGGTTTCAACAAGGCAGGGTGGACTGTCGCCACAAAGAGCTACAAGCTTGGCGCAAGCTTCCTTCCACACTCCACGCATCGAACCATTGCCAGTGCTACCCTCTCCCAACGGCAAGAGAGATAACCGCACGCGTCTCGATCACCACGGCGAAAACTGCATCATTCGAACAATATAAACGAAAAAAACAGGATTAGACATAACGCCACGTGCGGCTTCATTGCGACTTTCTCGTGCAGTCCGCAGATGGGAAAGGACTACACAAAAACAAGGCCCTTTCACTTTCAGGAAACTGACAGTAAGTAAATAAGGTTTTCTACACAACAGTAAAACAAGCCACAGCTCAGCAAGCGTGGAGGAAAAGTTCACTTCAATAGTTATCTATCCAACTATTAAAACGTTCCCTAAAAATGCGAACATATCAGACAGACGCGCTAGGCGACTGAAAAGTCGTCGATAAAACCCAGGCGTCTCCAGAAGGCACCAGGTCGCCGTCCGAAGGCAAAAGGCTGCTGTGAGATAAACCGTTAAAAAGGCAATATTAGGTTTCAGCGACTTAAACACGCTTCTGTCCTTTGAGAGGTAAAATTGTACACATTTTGAACAAGCCTTTCCTTCTTTTTAACTCACATTACAAGGTCAGCTCTTGGAGCGGCATCAAATCATATAAAAACTATTTCCAAAAAATGGCCCTTATTGCCCAAAAATAGCCTTTATCTTTTGACGGCAGTAATGCATGGGGAAGGGACCGGGCAACCGATGATACGGAGGGGAACCCAATGCTTTGCAGTCCAAGCCGGTTGTTTCGATGGGACATTGGTTAGCAAGACCTTTGACCCCTCCTCCAGCACTGGCAATGTGCCGGACACGGCTGACTCGTGCGCAAGCAGCAAATAGTCGCGTCGCATCATCCGCGATTCCAAAAAGCCGACATGCAGGCCAGGCCAGTCCGCTTGCCAGCATGAGTATCAACCGGAAATGCACAATCCGAAGTCCCGCCACGAGTTCTGTCACATGCGCCGCCCAAAGGCACTGGGTGCCGATAGTTCCAAGCGGAGGCACCACAAGACGTGCTGCTTTTGATCCGACGGAAGAGCACGCAGTGGCGTGAATCACGAAGAGCGCGAGTTGTACTGTCTCTAGACGTCAATATCTCTGCCTCCAGCAAGCCTGAGAGCCCAACCCGCGACACCTGTTGTCCTCCCAAATCGCGCGCGTCAACGAAGGGGCGACAGTGAGCAGCGCGTAGGACAATTTGCGCAGACAGAACCTCACGGTGAAAACGGTATGCGAGAACGGCGGTGCACACATCACAGCACCACATCAGCCGCAGCCCGGCGGTCACGCCGCCGGCCGGCAGCCCGAGCAGCAGCTTCAGCCCCTCCACCGCGACAGCAGCTATCTACAGCACAGCAGCAGGGACGTCCCGTCCCCGCCCAGGCACCCCCGCAAGCCTACGGCGACTCTCCCCTGCCCAGCCGACTCGACCTCACACGTCAACGCAACCTCTGGCACCCACCGCATCATTCCGAACGAGTCCGCTTCGAGTCTCGTGCATCCGCGTTGCTGGAGAGCGCCCGCCCTCCGCTCCACATGCCGTCTTGATTGGGAAGCAGCGTGCTACACATTGAAACAACTGGCACGGCTGCTGCACGGGCCAGCAGAAGGCAGCGTCTTCAGAGTGGTGTCTCTCGCCCACGCACGTGGCGCCAGCCGACGCATCTGGCAGGTGACGACGCGCGCCGCAGACGCTGGCGCCGTCGCCTCTCGCCGGCGGCCGGCCTGCCCCGTGACCTGACAGTGACGTGCCCGCCTCGGCGTCGCCCGAGTCTTGGCGGCGACGAGCTCCGCCTAGCGTCCGGCTGCCGCCCGGCTCTCGTCCAGCTGCTGCTTCAGCTGGCGCAGGCCGTCCCTGGCCTGCTGCACCTGCTGCGGCCTGCCGGTGGCCGCCTTTCGCTGCTCCTGCCGCTCCAGCTGCCGCTCCAGCTGGTCCAGCTGCCGGCCCGCCTCCTCCTGCACCGCCGCCGCCTGCGGGCGGAGCGAGGCGGAAGTCACGGCGGCCGTCCGGCAGACACGAGGTGGCGAGGTGCGCAGGCCACATGATGCCTGCAACGGCGCTCTCAGCCTCATCGACCCGACCAGCAACTCATTGAATATTGCACGCGTCGCTTTACAGAGAAAAAGTGATCATGCTGCAGCCTATCGTGTGGTATGAATGATCATTCCGCAGGCCACGTCCCACCACGTGACAAAATCCGGTGCGTGGGCGTGCGACTATGCAGATATACACCGGGAGCTTATCTCAGTCGCGCGATGCGCTTAGTGCATATCCGAAATACATGACTGCATCCGAGCCCAGCCAGGCGCAAATCTTCATGCCCAGGTCCTCCTGACGGTGCAGGCTGGTGCGCACTTACATGGGGCTGCCGCGTACCGGCTCAGCAACAGCCTACAGACCAGTTCCCTAAAGGCCCTAACCCCGCCAAGCCCTGCCGCCGCGCGTGGCCGCTGATAAGACGGGCTCAAAGTCACGTCTGGGGCTTTGTGACCGGCGCCAGAGATCGGCACCTGCCAGGGTCCGTCGCCCGGCCCGGCGACGCCCAGCCCACCCGAGCGTACCTGTTTACTGTCGCCGTGCCTGGCGCCGTGCAGCTGGGCATGCAGGGCTTCCGTGGACGCGATCAGAGCCCTGTCAACAGCCACAGCTCAGTCGGAGTGGGCAACAGGTGCCGCGGCAGTGCACAGTCGGCATGTTAACTGCCTACGCACGAGTGGCGCCGGCAGCCGTTGCCTGTTTACGCTCGCAAAGCC